ATCTTTGGGGCCCAATGTTTATCTACATGTTTGTTAGTGGCCAAGCGAGTCTTTTTTTTTCTTCCCATAATTCCTGAAATGAATGCAGTATCTGAGGACAGCAGATCCTACAATTTTATTGTCAAGTTTCACATGGGGAATCCTGAGCAGTAAGGACAGCTCACGACAGGCTGATTTGCCTGTTGTTTTCCCAGCGTCGGCAGCACCTGCTGTACTTACATGGAAAGAAATTGATGAGGTTTTTCAGTAGGAACTGGAAAGAGGCATTTTGGGGCGGGGGAATCTTGGATACTTAATATTTTTAATTGAAGTGTAAAAAAGTAAAGGAGAGATGGTGACGCCCAGTGTCAAAGAGGTCTGGTGGCTTCCTTCGGCAAGACAGGGCACAGCCGGGCAGTTAGGAGGAGACCAGTTACACACCAGGCAGGTGGGTTTCTGCCTTTTCTTTTTTAACAAAAGACATTGTTTTTATCGGCACAGCGATTGCAGTATATTGTGTCACAGTCACAGGTGACTGTTATGACAGCAGCCTTTACAAACGTGCCCTGATGGGGTGAGGCTATGTGGATTTTTAATTATCCTCGTTCTGCGCAGGCCATTTGACCTGATGTTCTCTCTTAGCAGCGGGTAGCAAGAATGCCTCAGAGCCGGCCCACGTGGTGGTCAGGCCCAGACTTCCTCACCAGGAAGAGGGAGAAGAGGGCTGGAAACCAATGTTTTATTATAATCCTGGTTTTATGAGATCAGTTCCCTGCCCTCTATGTAGCCACCAGAATTCACTTACACATGGGACCCCAAAGGACCGCGATGCTCCTCCCCCGTCTCCAAGTCGACTCACTGCAGCAACACTGAGCCGCGTCTGTGACAACACAGACTCCGGGAGCCGCGGGCAGGGTGCGCGCGAGGCCTGTCCTCTCCGAGACAGGTGTCTGCTTCCATCTCTGATCCCACGGCTTCCCTCACACACCGCTGGGCCCAGAGCCCTCTCGTTTCAAGGCCAACACTGGCGTTTTGGACAGGAAGTTTTCCAAGTAGTAAGCCAGAAAATCTACCTTGCTGTCACTGCGCATTGAGCCCATCGTGGCCTCCGCAGGAGGTACAGATGAATAGAAGTGGGCAGGATGGTCCTGGGGACCCTCCCAGGAGGCCCTGTCCTGTGGAGCAGACCCAGTTCTTCCCAGACCTCCGCGTCCTACAGGTGAGTGCTGGGACTCCTCCGTCCTCGTCAGCCGCTGCTGTCCCCAGCACCTGTGGTAAACCCCTGATTTGGGGTAGAATCTGCGAATAGACGTGCATGTGGGACCCAGCATGCCCCCACCTGGCACCAGAAGTCCATGAGCTCAACCCGTGAGTGTCGCCTTTCCATATGACGCCGGTGTTTTGTGTCAGGTTCGCGGCTAATCACAGTTCCCGCCACTGTCTCCCAGCTCACATTTGTATGTACACTCTTGGGGGTCTGTTTAAATGTCATTTCCGACAGACGTAGCGAGATAATTTTGAATATCAGTTTCGTTATCGGATGAGTTACCCAGCTCACTGGCTTTGGGTGCCTGTGGACTGTGACTGAACCAGATTGCTGCCCAAGTACGGGCCTGACATCTTGCTGTTGGAGCTGCTTCCTTGGGTTGGATGTGACGTGTTGGTCAACTTCCTCCCTCCTTTTCAGCCCCCTTCCAGCAACCCTTTCCTGAGTGCTGTGTCCCACGTTCAGAATTGATCAGGGACACGGGGACAATAAGGCATGTCCCCACCTGGTGCCGGCTTCCATGTCACATGTGATGCAGGTGGCCTGGGGTCCTGGACCAGGGCTGATGGGGGCGTGTGGCATCAGGAGCTCAGCCTACTGCTCATGGCTTCCCGTGCCTGCCCTGGGCTCAGAGCCCAGGCTGGCTGGCGCACACTCGAGTGTTGTTAGTAACAGTGAATCCCTGTGGGATCTCTGCCAGCATTTCAGATAGATGGGGCAGGACCCCAGTTGGAAGGAGCTGATTACAACGTCTTCCATTTATTCTCAACAGCTTCTGCTTTTGGGGACATATAGACAAGGAGTTCATTGTAGGTACCGTCTGCATTCTAAACACTAACTCCGATTGAAACTGTTCCTTTCCCGCCTCCTTATCCTTCCCTCCCCAGCGAGACCGCCCAGGGTTGGTGACACCCCCGGTGGCCTGCTCTGGCACCGTTGGGTCCCTGACCTTCCCACCGGCACACTCATTTGACTGCCCCTTGTCATGGTCTTGAACTGTCTTCCCTAACTATATGTCAGGGTCCTCAGTCTCGCCAGCCCTGGTCCACAGGCAGTGCTGGTGGCCTCTGGTGCCCTGTGGTCAGGGGCTGATCCCCACTCTACCCCGAACGAGTTCTGTGCCTTTGGACGCTTTCCTCTCTGTACTTCCAGTTCCTGCTTTGAGAAATGGGGTAAAGCACCTACCCCATGGGTCAACATTCATTCACTGATTCACTCACTCACTCACCGTGCATTCAGTACTCGAGCCCACCGCAGAGTGGGCACTTGGGTCCATCAGAGAACAGGACACAGTCCCTCCCTCCAGGCTGGCTCCTAGCCCCAGCAGCTCCGCAGTGTACTTGGGCAATGCCTCCTGTACCTTGGTAAGCGCCAGCTGCTGTTCTTCGTGTCTAGTTCACTGCCAACAACGGCATCACTGCTTCTTTAATCCTGGGCCAGGGGCTCAGCTGACAGGCTGAGGCCCCTTGCTGCTGAGCAAGGCCAGGAGGGCCCCGTGGTGGACGTAGGCGAGGCTGCCAGAGGTCGTTCCCAGTAACTACGTAACCCAGCAGAGACCCCTCACAAAGCAAGTTGTGACCCGTGTCTCGGACCTCCAAGTTGCCTAAAGCCAGGAGTTGTGCTGCCCTGTTCGGCTCCCCAGCCTCCATCGCCCCCCAGTCTCTGTCGCCCCCCCCCCAGCCTTCGTCGCCTGGTGCCTGTGATTCTTTCCTTTCAAAAGATCTGTTTCTCCAGCATTTCATTTGTACCCTCTTTAGAATTGGCCTCCATGTGACTTTGAGCCTTGTTGTTCCTTGGAAAAATGGGGGTGCTGATACCGTCCTACATGGACTGAGCAGGATGGGGCACCCGCATCGGAAAGCGCTTTGACATGGCAGGTGGCTCTTGGTGTCTCTGCCCTATCGGTGTCATTTATCGTTATTATCATCATGTAACAGGACCTTCCATGAGAAAAAGTTATGGTAATAAAAGCACACTTTTTTTTATCAAGACACTAATTTAAAAAAAAACAACCTTTTTATTCTGGAAATGCTCAAACACACACACAAACGGAAGGGAGAGTGTATCGAGCCCCCAGGTGCTCTCTCCCAGCCGGGCCCTCCCTCTGTCTGCCGCGTGCCTTTGCAGTCCCGTGTGAGGCCTCTGGTCCAGTGCAGAAGGGGCGTGTGCTCTTTTTCTAGTTACATTTACGCTTTGTTTTCCCCACCCAGTAAAGAGAGTTTTAATCAACCACCAATGTCTAAGTAAGACATGGGTCCCTGGGGAGGGGCTGGGGCAGCAGGGAGGGGCCCAGCAGCAGCGCCCTTTGGAAGGGCACCTCCAGCCTCCTCGCCCTTGTCACCTGCCTGGCCCTGCAGGTATTTGCGGCTGCAGGCCCTTCCTTACCCATGATTCCTTGCAAGCCTGGCTTTCACGAGTGGGGTGGAGCCTGGCTTTCTGCCTGTCAGGATTTTCAGAAATCATTCTGTGTCCTGCAGTGAGTCTACATGACTTTCTAAGATTTCTGGTAGTGGTTGAGTTGATCAATATCTCTTTACTGCTTTTGTAGGTCAAAAGTAGTTGAAGATTGGTAATTTCATGAAGTTCAGCCTAATAAATGATATGGTTTAAATTTTAAATATGGAATAAGTATAATGTGTCATACGGGGAGCGAGAATGGGGGCGAGAAGGTGTGCTATTGGGATCCCATCAAACAGAGGGGCGTGAGCAAAATCACACCTGTGCGGCCAGAGGTTTGAAAGGCACTTGGCCTTCCGTGAGCCTGCTTGATTGAGATATAATTCACACGCCACGCAGCTCACCCATTACAAGTCATTGATTTTTAGTATAGTCACAGACTTACACAACCCTCACCACAATCAACTTTAGAACATTTTCATCACCCCAAAGAGAAACTCCGTACCCACTAGCAGTCACTCCCCATTTCTCTGTAATCCCCCAGCCCCTGGCAGCCACTAATCTACTTTCTGTCTCTGTGGATTTGCCTGTTCTGGCATTTCACGTAAATGGAATCACACCCTACTTGCGCTTTGTGACCGGCTGCTTTTACTCAGCACCATGTTTTCAGGGTCCATCCGTGTTGTAGCGCGTGTCTGCTTTGTCTCTTTTTTTTGCCAAATATTCCACTGTGTGGCTAGGTCTCATCTCTGTCCAGCCATCAGTGAGTTGACGGGCATTTGGGGCATTTCCACCTTCTGGCTGCTGTGAGTAATGCTGTCGTGAACCTGTGCAGGGGTGTTTCTGTGCACATACACACACGTTGTCAGCTGTCCTGGGTGTATACCCAGGAGTGGAATTGCTGGGTCACGCGGTAACCCTGGGTTTAGCCTTTTGAGAAACTCCAAACCGCTTCCAAAGCTGCTACACCATGTTCCACCCCACCCCCCACCCCCGCAACACCGGTGTACCAGGGCTCTGATTCCGCCATGTTGTCACCAACACGTGTCATCTGATTTTGGTGCAGCCACTCCAGTGGGCATTGTAACGAAACTTCCCTGGCAGGATAAGCTATCTAAACGTTAGGAAAAGGGCTGTCATTTTGTTAGCATCCTGGAACATCAGGTCAGTTTTCAGAACCTCCTGAGGAAGCCAGGATGACACCACCAGCTTCCATGGTCCCTCCCCCTGCCCCCACCTCTGTGCAGGCCCTGCTGGTAGGTAGGGGGCGGGCTTTGTTTTTTATGCCTTGTTTCCAGAATAGGAAACAGTGTCACCTTCTCCCATGTCTAATCTGCCATGTGCCCCTTCTGCGCAGGTGTCACCATGAAGCTCATGGATGAGGTAGCCGGGATCGTGGCCGCACGCCACTGCAAGACCAACATAGTCACAGCTTCTGTGGACGCCATTAACTTTCATGACAAGATCAGAAAAGGTAAGAGAACTCTGCTGTCAAAGAGAAGGGGGGTGGCCTGTGGCTGCTGGGGTCCTTTGCACCATTTGCTGTAGTCTCACACCCAGCGTCACCTGGGCCCTGGCGTCTGTCCATTTGCCAGTCCTGTGCTCTGTCCTGTTGACACATCCCTGAGCCTAGGGCTCGTTGATCTGACTTTTGCATCTGGTAAAATCTGTAACTCCAGTGTGATCGGAGCCTTTATCCTGCTAAAGAGTGGCATAAACTTACCTGCAAACACCCCACGAATGGAGCTGGCAGAGACCCCTCATGCACGGTCACTGTGAGCTTTGATTGCCACCAGACCTTGTGTTGCGTGCTTCCCTCCAGGAGAAGCACATAAGCCAGGTGTAAGGAACGGCCGGCCAGCCTGTTCACCTGGGGCGGTGCAGGCATTTGCTAGTGTTCCCCGCACGCAAGTCCTGTGGAGTCGGTGGTTTTGCCTCTGTGGCGAGTGCGTGCACAGCTCCCCACACTCGTGTCATGATACTGCTGATGTGAAGATGTAAAGCAAGTGTCCCCTCCCAACACATGGCAATTCCTGTCTCTGTTGTGTTGTGTCTCCCGAGATGAGGCCCTGCGCCCCTGGAAAGTAGCATTTCACTGGGGGGGGCGGGGGGTGTTGTGAGGGCTGTGAGAGCCTGGCATTGATTCTGAAGAACCCTTGCCATGAAAGCCGTCGGGTCAGAACAGTCCCTGGCCATGGAGGGTGACAAAGTAGAGGAAAGAGAAGCTAGATTCTCCTGGACGGGGGCTCGAGAAGCAGCCCCGGAGCCGCAGAGGCCGCATCCAGGGCCTGCCGGGGCCAGCTGACGCCTGGCCTGGCCGCTGCACCCTCTCCTGCAGCTGTGCCTGCTGATGCGCCTGGCAACTGGATGCCTGCGAGCTGGGGACAAAGCATCCTGAGATGGGAAGGGGAGAGGGTCGCCTCCCTTCCCTGGCGTCCTCGAGGGCAAGTTAAACTTGCCCAGGTTGGATTTGGGGTGCTTTCAGGGCAAGGAAAGGGGCCCTGCGCCCCTCTGCTTCGCAGGTCCCTTCTCAACAGGTAGGTGTTGGCCACGGACGGAGACCACAGGGTCATTTCAGCATCTGAGCCTTGTCCGGCTTGGCTTGTCCTTCATGGGCCTTCCATGTTGTGTGTGGCGCCGGTGTGAAGTTCTGGGTAAAGATAGTGCCTGTTTGCCACAATTCCAGGCCTCTTTTTCTAGAACGACTCCCTGGGTAAGTTACCATGACATGGCTCCACTGTTAAATACAGCTTCAAACTCCACAGTGGAAAACAATGACTTTCCATGGCAGCTGTCCTGTTCAGCGTCTCCCAAGTGCCCTTTGAGAGATGCCAACCAAGAATTAGAGTCTCCTAGATAGCCAGCCAGCGTCCTTGGTGTCAGCCCGGCCTTCAGCTGTGCCCTGCCACTGAGGGACGGTCCCATAGATGGACAGCCGACTTTTGTTAAATTGACGAGTCATTGAAAGGGGTCCCAACTGCGCCCTCAGCCCCGTATGACCAGAATTCACTTTCAAGGGAGAACGCCGGAGGGGCATGGCTGGTTCCGGTCGGTGGTCGGTGGGAATTAGCTAGCTCGAGGGAAGACTGTGAATACTAATTGGAGTAGAGTGGTTTTTCTAGGGATTGATGTGGCAACCAGGAAGAGTCAGGCCACCTGTGTGAGGAACTGCTCTACGAAGATGCCCCGTTTCTAAAAGGCTCCTCTCGTTCCAACACGGAGAACAGGGCCGTGATTTCTGGCTGAGATCCCACTGTGGATTGGTTTCCTTCAGTGAGAGTGAGACGGGCCCCTGGGGCTCCCGGCCTTGGCCTGTGCTCGGCTGGCCTGGGGACCCGGGAAGGCAGGGCTGGGCCTGTTTTCTCGGGTCGTGTCTTGTTTTGTATAGGAAGGAATCTGGGCCAAACTAAAGGAGCAGTTACGGAGTCTGGCCTACTTCTATGCCGTGTCCTCCAGGGGCCATTACACACTGTCACACCTTATTTGTTTTTCCCAGAGGAATGTCCCGTGTCAAGTTGTCGGCTCCCTCCTCTGTGCTGTGGCTCTGCAGACAAGCCTGCTGTTCATTTCCTGGGGGTGAGGGCTCTGTTCGGGCAGCACACAGGCTGCGCCTGCTTCAGAAGCGGAACTGTCACACTTTGTCTCTGATTCCAGGGGGCAGCGGCCTCTGCAGGTGCTGCCGCTTCACCCGGCTCCTTTTACTCCCACGTCCTCTGCTCCTTTCTAGGGGACACAGAGCCAGGCTGGATGAGCTGGGGGCGGGGGTGGGGTGGCTCCAGGTTCTTGACAACAGGCAGTGCAGGTGTGTCAGAAACTTGGGGGGCGGCCCAGCATTGACATTCCATGTTCTGCTCTGACTTTCTGATGCGAATCTGCTGGGACCACTTTAAACCTGCGGGACTCTCTAGAGCGCGGCCTCCGAACAGCTGCCGTCCTCTGGCCCAATGCCTTCTGGCGCCTTGCAGTTCTGCCCTAATGTGAAGGGGCTGAGAAGGCCAGACCTGCTGCCGACCCTCTGAGTCAGGCAGCATCCCTGAGCCCCGGGGACCACTGGCAGGAGCCAAACCCCAGCACTCGTGTCCATGTGGGGGCAGTGGCAGAGTTTAGCGCTGTGAAGAGCAGCATGTGACTGTCGCCAGGCTGTGCAACAAATAACCACAAACTGAGGGCTTAAAACAGAAAATTTCTCTCTCCCAATTCTGGAGGCCAGAAGCACAAAATGAGGGTGTCGCTGGGCCAGGCTCCCTCCAAGGCTTTAGAGGAGGGATTTTCCTTGTCTCCAGCTCCGGTGGCCCAGGCGTCCCGTGATTTGTGGCTGCGTCACCCCAGCCTCTGCCTCGGTCTTCCTGTGGCCTCTCGCTTCCCCCTCCTCTTTCTCCGTCACTTGTCACAGGGTTGAGGGCCCACCTGGATAACGCAGGAGGATCTCATCTCGAGGTCCTTACCTCGGTGACATCTACAAGCCTCATTTCACATTCTGAGCTTCTGGATGGGCTTATCTTTTTTTGGGGGGTGGGGGTGGGGCGGGCACTGGTCAACCCGCTACAAATGGCTTCTCTCCTTACCGCTTAATTCTGTAGACGCCGCTCACTTTCTCAATCATGAGGTTGGTAAAATGTCTTCTGTGCCTCTCTACCCACATGGGTTCAGTCCCTCCCTTGTGAGAGCCAGCGGTAAAGTCAGGACCCGGCCCTGAGAGGGAGTGGCTCTCAGGGGTACAGAGCGGAGGAGCCCAGTTTTGAGAAAGGCAAGCATACAGGCGGGAGTAGGGGCGTCCCCGGGCTTAGACTGCAGAGAGCAGCCCCCCAGAACAAAACTAAGGCTCTTTGCTTCCCTGGCATGGGGACACTGAACAAGCACCAGTGACTTGGCTCTGCGAGGCAGGGCAACAGGGTCAGCTCCCAAAATGAGCAGGACTGAGCAGGCCGGGAAGCAAATGTTTAGTGACAATGTCAGGAAAACAGTGTGGACCCAGGGGGCTGCGTCTCTTTCTAAATTAACTCACTCCTGAGTTGAGTGTGAAAATTAATCAGCATAAGCAAGGTTTTTTTAAATGATGGTATTTTCATGGAAAAAGTGTTGGCAGGTGGTCCTGGGCCTATGTAGGCAGACTCAGCCCTTGGGCACCCCAAGTCTTTGGCCATGGTGCAGCAGCTGAGCACGGCCAGCTCCCGGCCCGATGCGGGGTGCCTACACCACCTTGTTTGGCAAACGCTTGCATGTCAATCTGGCCACGCCCCATCTGTCAAACACACAACCCTGGAGGGCCCCCTCCCAACCCTGCCACCACACCCAGCCCCCCTGTTTCTGGTCCGATGCAGTGGGGGAGAGCCCAGAAACTAAGCCATACTGCCAGCCAAACACGCTACCTGCGTATGAGTTTCCTATTGCTGTTGTGACTGATTTCCACAAACTAGTGGCTTAAAACAACACAGATTCATTCTCACGGTCCTGGAGATCAGGAATCTACAAGGTCCACGGGCTGCGTCCCTCCCAGAGGCTCCAGGGGAAACCTGTTGCCTTGACTTTTCCAGCTTGTGGGGTGCCCACATTCCTTAGCTCCTGGCCCCTTCCTGCAAACCCTGCTTCTGTCACCCCATCTCTCCTTTCTCTGACCTCCTACCTCATTTTTATAAGGACCCTCGTGGTGACAGAGGCCCACCCAGATGATCCAGGGTCATCCCCCATCTCAAGCCCCTTAACTTGGTCCCATCTGCCAAGTCCACAGGTCCCCGCGTTAGGACCTGGGCATCTTCGGGTGCCATTTTTCTGATGCCCATAGGTGGCGTCTTAGTATATGGAGTGTGACTTTCTGACTTAGCCATTTCAGCGTATTTCATCAGAGAAACAGATGGGCGGGAGCCAGACCTTTGGGGTGACCTCTGCTTCAGACCTGAGGCAGAGGAGGCTGATGTTTATCTCCCTTCAGCCTCTGGAAAGTGGTCCTTTGGATGATAGCAGCCAAACGCCAGCCTACTTACTGCCTTGCCTGTCACTCAGGCGGGTGTCTGTCAGGAAGCAATGCCTGCAGCGTTACGTTGTGAAAACATTGCCCCACAAGTTCAGAGAACAGCTTTGAATTTCAGCCGCCAAGGGTGTGTGCTGAAGAGGGCGGGCTCACGTCGCCCACGGCACAGCCGGGCAGTTAGCGCAGGGACGCTCCCCTCCTTTGGCTGACCTGCTCTCTGGCAGGGGCAGTGGATTTGCTGTTGACAAACCAGGCTCTCCTAGGTCACTGTCACTGCTTGCCTAGACCACAGAGGGCCCACCTCTCTTAGGACTTTGTCCCCTACTCCAACACCACCCCACATTCACAGTCTTTAACACTGGGGACCTGTCATTGCTCTGCTCACAGCCTGGATGGCTGCCCATGACGCCCTCCCGCCTGGCGCTCCAAGTCTGCTGAGATCCCTCCCCCTTCCCACCTGTGTGTCCCCCAGGCTACCGGGTCCTCAGCGCGTGTGCATGAGGAGC